GGGGGGGGGGGGGGAGGGGGGGGGGGGGGGGGGGGGGGGGGGGGGGGGGGTCCTGACCCCCCCCCCATCGATTTCTGGTCCCCTCTTGGAATTAGAATTTTGACTTGCTGTATCATAGGTATGAACCGTACCAAATGGCACCGTTCGCCCTTTAAAATACCAAAAAATTATGGGACCCTTCACGCCAAGTTGAGGGGGGAGGTTCGCTTTCGCATCCGCAGACCCCCACCCCCACCCTCTTCAAACAATCCTACATCCGCCCCTGATAGTGAATATTAAGTTTTTTTCTAAAATATGAGAGGCACAGGGAAATTACTGTTTAATCAATACCTTTCTCAGTAGATCGTCATTTAAATTCTCCGTTTTTATCTTCAAGTTCAAGCTCGTCGTTTTCTTTTTGTTGACGCTGTCGCTATAATCTCCGTTTGTTCCTTTGAAGCAGAGTGGCATTTGCGCAACGTTACACGACTTATACATCTTAAAATACAATCTGGCTTTGCAAAATTTTCCGAAAGGCAAATGAAAACTCCCTTAGCAAGGACCATGCACCCCATGTCCGACTAAAACACATGTAGCTAATGTTACACACTTTATCACTCAGCATCATCTCCACCAACCAGTAAGATGTGTTATCGACTCCAGTTGTTTGCCCGGAAGTCTAACTATATTGGCGAATTTGACCAGAGTTGCTCCCTCAAAAGATGAAAATACGAGTAGCAGATCTCGCTAGTCATATTTATAGCGTCTGCAATAATATTTATTTGCATTTATATTGACGCCTTAGATTGCCTCCCATTCTAGACGACGTCAACGAGGTTGCCGTCCGGCGTCCGTTGTCGGAGGCAGCTGCTGCGGGCGAGCTGCTACACTGTTCATGTACGGTAGCTACTGCGGTTGTGTACAAATTCAATAAAGACAAGGTGAGGTCAAATTGGCTTACTCCAATTACTTGACAGTAGCGTTATCTGTGTGTTACTGTTCTTAGCTTACTGGCAGGTCGATTTCGCTGCCTTGTGTGCCACAGGGTACTGAAGACTTTAAGTTCATGAGGACCATGGTAGGCGATGCTCAAACTGGTCTTCATTTTACACTTTTTGAGGCCTTTGCTTTCATGCATTAGCACAGCATACATGTCAGTATTGTCACTAGGAGTTTTCATCAATTTCATGATAGGTACCGGGAGACAGAGATCTATGGCTCATCATCAAAGCATGGCACATTGTCAGAGCTATTCTCTCTACTTAAATATTAATATTATATTAATTTGTTGTTTTATAGGCTTTAAAGGGAAATAGATAATTATTTAATAAATATAGCCTTGAAGGTGCACAAGAAACTTTTTAGTGAACCTAGAGGTTTTGCACATCAAGTACATTTTGGCAGCTTTAGTATATATATATATATATATATATATATATATATATATATATATATATATATATATATATATATATATATATATATATATAATCTGATTCTTTATTGATACACCTTCACAAATAATGTACAATCAAAGACAATTACATCTAACTACAACAGTACAAACAAGTATATAAATAAATATACATGATTTCTATGTTTACATGTAGCATAAGATCAATAAGTTAATTTATAAGAAGTTATATATGGAATGTATGATGATAATCTATACATGTAGGTGATGAATTAGAATGAGTACATTGGAGAGAGTACAATGTAATATGAGAGGGCCTGTACGCTTTGTTTAAAGCATCTATTTACAAAACACATAACCATTCTAAGAATGTCTATGTCTATGTCTATATATATATATATATAATATGAAGTCATGTCTTCCATTTTCGATGAAAATGTGGTGGATATAATTTTACTATCTGTATAATGTTTACTTATTAACATTTCTAAATGTGCATTAAATGTTAAATGTATATTTCCAGTAAAAGAAGTCATGCATCACATGAAAAGCTTCCTGAGGTTTTGGCTGGCATCTGGCAGACTGCCTGTCAGTTATAACAGAGGATATCTAACATGGACTGTTTATAAAGGTTTGGAAGTACATGTTTGCTTAGTGTATCCTTTTGTGTATATGTGTGCATGTTAGAATAAAGTTGTGAAAGCCGGAAGCTAGTGCACATTGACCAATGCACATGACTTAACATATATCACTACTGTTAATCTTTTTGTCAAATTTAACCGAGATGTAACATTAATTTTTGCCTTGTCGATGTTTTCATCAAAAATTATTATTGCCTGTTATGCATTAGGTACTGGTATTTCTAGAAGTGTAAAGCCTAGATGCAGACTAAATTTTTTTTTGTTTTTTTTACGACCATCTAATGTTATAGTTCTCTTGTTCCACATAGTATGATTTAGTATTATAGTGTTTGTTTATTCTACAATATTTCAGAATGCCATAGACATATACTTTATCACCCACTCCTAGGCAAAACTACCACCAAAATAGCTAAAAGGACAGCACCTCAAATGGCAAATAATTTTTTCTTGGGGGTTATGTATCATGCATCATCATCTCACAATAATGACAACAAAACTGGTGGTATAAACAAGAAAAAGTTGCCTGATAGTACAGAGGAAGAGCCCAGCATATCATCCAGTAATGAGGGAAGCTCTTCTGCGCTTGGGAGTAGTGGAGAGAAACAGGACACAAGTGCTCCAGTACAGAGTTCATATGTAAAAGGTATGTGTACAAAAATGGGTTTTACGTGCTCATAGATTTTTTTATGCTAGTATTGACAATCTGGCTTACGCTAAATGAGAAAGTTTTAGGTTATTTGATTATTTTTGCCAAATGAATTCCAATTTGATGATGAGGGCAGAAAAATTTGATAAAGTTGTTAATAACCACAGCCAAGCCTAATTTTGAGGATTTTTTTATGATATACTCGGTATGCTATGAGAATTCCTGGTTTAACCCCTGCTGTTAACTTTTTTTTACATTGATGGCACATCATTAGATTTTATTTCACTCTTCAATTCCAGTTGTGCCAAAAACCAGTGTACCAAAGACAGACCGATACACAGATAATATAAGGTTGACTGTCCATGATGTCAAAAAGAAGTTTATGTTATCAGATGAGTATGTAGACATTGATGTTATATTACAGTTTATGTAGATATTTATATTATATTGCTCTAGTGTAAATGGTTGGTTCACTTCTTGAAATGACCTTGGTCTTATTATTTATTTACTGCTTTATTTCATCAATTGAGAATTGTCAGTTGTGCAGAAGATGACATTTTAATTTTATATTTGATTTTATAGAGATATTAGGCAACTAAAAGGGAAAGAACAGCGAAGTCCATATTCTGGNATTAGAATTTTGACTTAATGTATCATAGGTATGAACCGTACCAAATGGCACCGTTCGCCCTTTAAAATACCAAAAAATTATGGGACCCTTCACGCCAAGTTGAGGGGGGAGGTTCGCTTTCGCATCCGCAGACCCCCACCCCACCCGCTTCAAACAATCCTACATCCGCCCCTGATAGTGAATATTAAGTTTTTTTCTAAAATATGAGAGGCACAGGGAAATTACTGTTTAATCAATACCTTTCTCAGTAGATCGTCATTTAAATTCTCCGTTTTTATCTTCAAGTTCAAGCTCGTCGTTTTCTTTTTGTTGACGCTGTAGCTAATCTCCGTTTGTTCCTTTGAAGCAGAGTGGCATTTGCGCAACGTTTCACGACTTATACATCTTAAAATACAATCTGGCTTTGTAAAATTTTCCGAAAGGCAAATGCAAACTCCCTTAGCAAGGACCATGCACCCCATGTCGAACTAAAACACATGTAGTTAATGTTACACTCTTTATCAGCATCATCTCCACCAACCAGTAAGATGTGTTATCGACTCCAGTTGTTTGCCCGGAAGTCTAGCTACATTAGCGAATTTAACCGGAGTTGCTCCCTCAAAAGATGAAAATACGAGTAGCAGATCTCGCTAGTCATATTTATAGCGTCTGCAATAATATTTATTTGCATTTATGTTGACACCTTAGATTGCCTCCCATTCTAGACAACGTCAACGAGGTTGCCGTCCAGCGTCCGTTGTAGGAGCCCTAGCTTCTGCGGGCAGCTGCTGTACATGTACGGTAGCTGCTGCGGTTGTGAACAAATTCAATAAAGACAAGGTGAGGTCAAATTGCCTTACTCCAATTACTTGACAGTGGTGTTATCTGTGTGTTACTGTTATAACTTATTGGCAGGTCGATTTCGCTGACTTGTGTGCCACAGGGTACTGAAGACTTCATGAGGACCATGGTAGGCGAAGCTCAAACTGGCCTTCATTTTACACTTTTTGAGGCCTTTACTTTCATGCATTAACACAGCATACATGTCAATATTGTCATTAGGAGTTTCATCAAGTTCATGATAGGTACAGGGAGAAAGAAATCTATGGCTCATCATCAAAGCCATTGCCATGCTGTGGCATATTTATTAATATTATATTTTAAAAGTTGTTGTTTTATAGGCTTTTAAGGGATGAAAATAATTATTTAATAAATATAGCCTTGAAGGTACACAAGAAGCTTTTTTTGTGTGTGTGTGAACCTAGAGGTTTTGCACATCAAGTACATTTTGGCAGCTTTAGTATATATATATATAATATAAAGCCATCTCTTCCATTTTTGATGAAAATGTGGTGAATAAAATGTTACTATCTGTATAATGTGTACTTATTAACATTTCTAAATGTGCATTAAATGTTAAATGTATATTTCCAGTAAAAGAAGTCATGCATCACACGAAAAGCTTCCTGAAGTTTTGGCTGGCATCTGGCAGACTGCCTGTCAGTTATAACAGAGGATATCTAACATGGACAGTTTATAAAGGTTTGGAAGTACATGTTTGTTTAGGGTGCATTCCCAGAGATTTAGATCGATCCAGAGATTAAGATTTATATTGACCTAACTCCCTGGGGGTTCATGCTAAATTGCAGTCAGCTGAGTGCGCACCATAGTTAATTACCCCCTTACAGCTTTTAGTAGGCGGGACAGACGCTTAAGATGGCTAAGCTGACAGTAATCTAGCGAGACTCCCCACAGGGATAGATCGATCTAAAATTATGGGAATGGGGTCTTAGTGTTTCCTTTTTGTGTATATGTGTGTTAGAATAAAGTTGTGAAAACCGGAAGCTAGTGCACATTGACCAATGCATACGACTTTACATATATCACTACTGTTAATCTTTTTGTCAAATTTAACTGAGATGTAACATTAATTTTTGCCTTGTCGATGTTTTCATCAAAAATTATTATTGCCTGTTATGCATTAGGTACTGGTATTTCTAGAAGTGTCAAGCCTAGATGCAGACTAAATTTTTTTTTGTTTTTTTACGACCATCTAATGTTATAGTTCTCTTGTTCCACATAGTATGATTTAGTATTATAGTGTTTGTTTATTCTACAATATTTCAGAATGCCATAGACAAATACTTTATCACCCACTCCTAGGCAAAACTACCACAAAAATAGCTAAAAGGACACCACCTCAAATGGCAAATAATTTTTTCTTGGGGGTTATGTATCATGCATCATCATCTCACAATAATGACAACAAAACTGGTGGTATAAACAAGAAAAAGTTGCCTGATAGTACAGAGGAAGAGCCCAGCATATCATCCAGTAATGAGGGAAGCTCTTCTGCGCTTGGGAGTAGTGGAGAGAAACAGGACACAAGTGCTCCAGTGCAGAGTTCATATGTAAAAGGTATGTGTACAAAAATGGGTTGTTCGTGCTCATAGATTTTTTTATGCTAGTATTGACAATCTGGCTTACGCTAAATGAGAAAGTTTTAGGTTATTTGATTATTTTTCCAAATGAATTCCAATTTGATGATGAGGGCAGAAAAATTTGATAAAGTTGTTAATGACCACAGCCAAGCCTAATTTTGAGGATTTTTTATGATATACTTCGTATGCTTTGAGAATTCCTGGTTAAACCCCTGCTGTTAACTTTTTTTTACATTGATGGCACGTCATTAGATTTTATTTCACTCTTCAATTCCAGTTGTGCCAAAAACCAGTGTACCAAAGACAGACCGATACACAGATAATTTAAGGTTGACTGTCCATGATGTCAAAAAGAAGTTTATGTTATCAGATGAGTATGTAGACATTGATGTAATGTTACTGAGTGTATGTACTATAGTTTATGTAGATATTTATATTATATTGCTCTAGTGTAAATGGTTGGTTCCTTCTGATTGAAATGCCCTTGGTCTTATGATTTATTTACTGCATAATTTCATCAATTGAGAATTGTCAGTCTTGCAGAAGGTGACATTTTGTTTTTTTATTTGATTTTATAGAGATATCAAGCAACTTAAAGGGAAAGAACAGCGAAGTCCATATTCTAGTGTGGATCATATTGTGGTGTACATGGAAAAAGATGTGAGAGCATTGTAAGGTTTATTTTTATTATTATTTTGTTATAAGATTATTTTGTGGGGACACAAGTGGAAATAATATGCCATTCATGATAAATTTAACTTTGAAAATAAGGACCATGTATTATGTAGTATACAGTACATGGGATTTAGTCTCTATGAAAATAAGTACATGTAGTAATAGATCTTATATTTCATGAAACAGTCAGGTAGAGAAGAAGATATGCAACACAGCATTTAGTCTGTGTAAATTGGATATTTCAGAGCATATAAAAAATATGGAGGACAAGCCAATTTTTTGGAAATGCAACGTAGACAAGAAGAATTAAGGGAAAGGGCACAAAAGATGGGTAAGATGGTTTTGCCTCCATTGTATTTTAAACCTAATTATGTGAGATGAATTAATGTTTATATGCTTGGCTTCTCAGATTGAATAGAATTATATAGACTTAATACATATTTTTTAATATTTTAAGAAAAAAGTTGCACTTCTTCTCTAGCCTTATTTAAGCTCTTTTTTATGGGGACAGGTATATAAGAGCCTGAAAATTTTGACCTTAGAAACAACCTGTACTGGACACAAAGATGAATATTTTTTTTCTGTGTTTCTTTTACCAGATGTTACACAACTGTCCAAGCGCATTCTCCATCTTCCTCCAAAAGTAAGTCACTAAACTAGAACTTAAATAGGATGGATTTATTCATGCTATTTATTGATCATCTTTTTAAATTGCAGTGCTATCTGTAATTATTTTATTGGTACACGTATTCCACTGTTCTGCTTGGTTTGTTTATTGGTGCAGTATACATGTATCCAGATCTGATGTCTTTTAGGTTTTTACTCCTCCTTCGGACAGTAAAGAGATTGACAAGGGAACTGTATGGGCCTGCCAGTTTGCGGTTTTCACGTAAGTTACTATGCACATACATCTGCCAAACTGAAACTCAATACTTCTGATTTCTTTCGGATTCCTATTTTTCATTGAGATAGCTTTTTGCTATTGTATGGGCAGTTTTCACAGTTACTCATAGATCTGCTAGACTGTGAAACTCAATACTTTTGATTTCTTTCTGATTCCTATATTTCACTGTGATAGCTGTAATACTTTTTCTTATTTCCATAATGTCTCTCCAAAACCAAACTTGAAAATAGTGCTTTATTTTGAAATGTTGGGCAAATTTTTGTAAGGAATGACATGTTTGCCATTTATTCCCCTTTTTTTCCAGGAACTTTGTAGCTTTTGGTGCCAAAGGTATTATATGGTATCAAACGGGGTTTGACAGTATGTTTGCCGAAATGCTGCATTCTTTGGTAGATGTAACAAACCAGGTAAGCTCTTTCGTCACAGACAAATGCTGCAGTGCAACTGTGAATTATCACAGAAAGAAATCAGTTATTGCTACAAGCTGTAATTTTTAACTCTTTATTTATTTATTTATTTTTAACTGTTGCAAAATCGATTGTGGAATTACATAATTATTCTGTGGCCAGAATTGAATGCAATTTTCACAAACACTATAGCAATACTTATCTGCACATTTTTTACAGGCTTTTCTTCTGTACGGGGTGTATAAAGCAAGCAAAAAACCTGATTCCATTCACCCGTAAGTTGCATAAAAAAAGACATCATTGACAATAGAACAGAACCATATATGTAGCAACAAAATGCATTGTTAACAATCACAAATTCAATGATGTCAGCAGTGATTTGTCACTGTCCAAGACTTAGCGTGCTGGCTTACAATATTAATTGACCGACCAATACATGTATTCACATACACAGGTAAAGCTTGCCCAACTTACTTGTCTATAAAAAAAAAAAAAACAGTTTGCAGTCTTTAACATGTGCCTCATGATGCCTTCATCAATGAAGCTGTTCACAGTATTGTTTTCCTAAATAGAAGAATTTTAATTAGGCCTCTAATCAGCTAAAAAAGTAGATATATTTGCTCCCAAATTACTTTACCCAGCTTGAGAAATGGCATGGAACTTACGTACCAAATAAAATTTGGTTTCAGATCAAGCCTTTTCCAATCAATGGGGTAGTTCTTTGGAACCCCTTGTGCCCCTTTCCCTTTTGTCTTGTCACTTACATATCTTTTTTCTTTTATTTCAGTACTGTTTTCCATGTTATAAGATCGTATCATTATGTTGTAGGTATGGTTACAGCCAAATAAGGCCACTGACTTCCTTTCTCAGTGCCTTAGTCATATGTGGGGTAGGAGCAGTGTCAATATACCATGGCATCCTTGGATTTTTTAACCCAGGAGAACTTGTTTCCCCATTTTATGTAAGAGCTTACTTGAGAAATGTATATGTACATAACCATTTACTAAGTCTGGTTTATGAATGTCTAATGACAATCATTGATCTCAGATATAAAGGTTTTTATGTTGACCTAGTGTTATTATGAAAGAAAATGGTATTCAGAATCTCCAGTGTTATATTCACAAATAGATGGATTATTCTTTCAATGTAATACTCTCGAATTCACTCGTCCAAGAATATGTAATGTCAAGTATAAGGAAAGAACATGGTATTTTGAATTTCAGTTATATGTCTTGTTTTCAGGCATATATCGTATTGGCCGTTTCTGGGATATGTGAAGCAAGTAAGAACAAATTTGGCAAATATATCTCTCTTATGTTCTAATCTAAGTTGCTTTATGTTTCTTGTTAATCATAAATGTTTTTAATGGTGCCTTCTAATCTGATATTTAAGATTGCTAGCATATGGAAATATAATTAAAAGTTGATAACTGAGATAGTGTTTATAATCATGTCTCATTAGATTCAGTCATGGTTTCCTATATTATAAAAGTATATAATTATACATGTATATATTCAAGACGAGCAAATATATGAGCCTTGGGTTGAAATATCGGAGGCAATAGGTCAACTGGGTGAAGATAAATTTGCTAGAAAAATTCTGGCCAGATCTCATGATGAACTGGTTAAGAAATGATCTAAACTTGTGAGCCTTTTCTTAGTCATTGTAGTAAAGTAAACAGTTAATTGTGCTTGAAATTTAAATTAATTGTTCTTTTA